GATTGAACTAAGAAAATTCTTAATATTAAGAATTATAAGATCAAACAACTGGAAAAAATTTTCTATCATAGTAGTAGAGATAACTTCTAATAGCTATAGAAAATTTAAATATTAAGGCCACTTGATTTCCTACGACAATTAACCGGTATATATTCTTACCTCTTTCTAATTATGCGTTTCACTTCGCTTACTTCCTGTTCATTTATATTTATAATAGGTTTTATACGCGTGCAATGCACATGGTTAAATATTATGAATAAATATTTTTAATTTATTTCTTTACTAAAATTTATTTCTCTGTTTTCACTTTGATTGTTTTGCTCACTTATGTTTTTAAACTTTAGTATTGTGATTATTATTTTTTAATGTTTGTTTGAATGAGCTACACCAAGTTTAAAATTTTTATGTTAATAATTGAATTGACAAGGAATATAAATGTAATCTAAAGATAATTTAAATTTTCACGTTATTTGGATTGACATGAAACCAAGCTTGATTTGAGAAGGTATAATATTGTAAAAGTGAAAAACACTTGAAAAAGTAGCGTTATAAAAGAAGGATGAATAATTAAAGCCAATAAGCCAAGATGATTAAATAAAAGTGGGCTAGAATGAAACTAAAGAGAATATAAATTTTGTTATTAATCATTGATAGACTTCAAAAAATATCATAAAATAAAGATTAATGCTAACTCTAGTACACTTTTATGTAATAAAAGCATCCACATAACCATATAGAAATATTAAAAGTGTTCATGAAAACCCCTTCTAAAAGTTTCTGATTTTACTCAAAAAATTAAGCTATTATATAAAATATTTAATAATTTAAATTTGTGTTGTATTTATAAAGAGCTTTAATGAAGATGATTTTGTTTTAGTAGCTTGTTCTGAATGAGCCCTGCATATTAGCTTTAAAGTGTAATATTTTTTTTTATCGTGTTATATGGATGTTTGCTTGGTTTACTTATCATTCTCTTATTTCTTCAATAACTTGTATCTTTGGATTGATATATATTATTAACACAATTTACGATGATATGCATATCTTTCCTACAAGTTTGAGACACATATAAGGTAAATTTTATGTTTAGTGACCTTTAATAAAAATTTTAGTTGTAAAATATGTAACATTCATATTTAAAGATCTTGAAATCGGATAGTACTATTACATGCTTATTTTTTATCATGTTCTTAAAAAGTAATCATTCATTGGTAGTCATATCCCCAAATATGGTTACATACAGAGTCGTGCCACTATATAGAAAAAATAAAAATGTCAATTTTAATTTTTTTTACTTACGCTATGGTAACTAAGTATCACGCCCATACTTTTTGTTCATTATAGTGATTTTTCTTATCTTATCTAGCTTATTATATCTCTAATGTAGTTTATCAACGGATTCACTTTAGTTTCTAATGCAAGATTATTTATATGTAATTTTATATTAAGTTTATGATTCTTTTAGTATTTTAAGAATAAAGTACGAAAATTTATAAGTGCTTACTAATTTTTTTTGTATCTTTCATGAAGAATACTTTTTTAATTAGGACAAAATTATTCAATATGTTCTTCAAGGGTAACTCGGACAGTGCTTTTTTGCTAGATATACTTTTTATCAATGTCAATTCAGGTGATTCATGAATGTTTTTGAATTTTGAGTTTATTTTCTTCACTTCTCCATTTGAAATGAAAACAACTTAGTTCTTTTAAAGGATATCTCTGAACTTTCTGATAGTTTCTCCATACATAACTCCTTGTATTTTTTTATTTTATAAATATTATCAACATTAGAGATAAATGTTTATACATTATAATCAATTAATGCTAACCTATTATATCTTAATGTAATAATATCAAATATTTCCTGTTTTCTTTGCCAAATTTCAGCCTTATTTGTGATTTTGAACTTTTGAGTGTATATTTTGTAATTTTTAAACTTTAATAGCATTTTATGAAAATTTTAAATTTTAATTTGGATGCTTATAATTTTCATGTTTCATATGTTGGTGGTAAGTTTTTAAATGTTAGAATGTTTCTTGTAACTCTGAAATTTTGAAGGTATTTTTACAATTACTAAAAATTTGGGTTATTTTTTAAAAAATTTAAAATTATAGTGATATGCTGTTAATTTCTAAATTTAATATGTACCGATTATAAGTTTTGAAATTTCAAGATTTTTTATAATTTTTTACTTTTGAGGTAGATTTTATAATTTTTGTAACTTTAAGGTTATTTTTTACAAATTTTAAAATTTGAAGTGCCTAATGGTAATCCCTAGAATCCATCTATGTTGTTTCTAAGTTTTAAAATCTCTGGATTTTAGGTGCTTTTTTGTAATTTATTCAATAATTTAAAAAATGTTGAGGGTGTTAATTATAAATTTTAAAATTTTAGATTTCATGTTTATTTTTAAGTTTAAAAAAGTCAAGGTGTTTTGTGTAATTTTAAACTTTTAAGGCTATTATATGTAATTTTTAAAACTTTTGGGTTTTTTTAACACTTCATGTATTATAATATGTTATCTACATATAATTTCTTAATCTTATTTTTTCTAAATTGTTAAACTTTAGATAGTTCATATAGAGTTAATATAGTATATAATTAGTATTTAGATAAATTATAATTTAAATAAAAGATTTAAAATAATTTTTTTAAATTATTGAGCTATAGACAGTTCACGTGGAAAGATAAGATATGATTAAAATTAGAATAGATTAAGATTCAAATGAAATATTTAAAATAGTGAAGGATAATATTGACCATGAAAAGCTTTTACTGAACTCGTGCTTTTTAAAAGGAGTATGATACAATATGATTATGTATTAATTTTTCCTTAATAAATTTCTCGGAATTCTTGTACCGATTGTTAAAAAAGCAAGTTTACTTCAATTAAAATTCTAAAAAATAAACAAATAACTTTTAATCCAGGGAATAAACAATTAATACTTGAATTAAAGGAATCCCAGCATTATTTTAACAGATCACCCCACCCAAACAAATTTTCTAATATAGGAAGGACAAAAGTAGGCCTCAGCTTCATCTGGATTGTCTCTTTCCTGCGGTGTGCAGCACGCATGCAGAGAGAAATGGCCCTTCTTCAATTCTTCGCCCCCATTTTATTTAAATTTGGAAGATGTTTTTTTTAATAGTAGAGACAAGAAGAAGATACCCCCACCAACTCGCGTCTGCGTTCTTTTGTAGTTTAGTGTCTCTGAACGGTTGTTAATTTTTTGGCTTAGTTTGGGTCCAACACAACTGTAATGATAATCTTAATTATAGTGTTCTAGTAGCTATAGGAACAAGTGTTTATTGTACTTTTAACGGTTAATATGCATCCTCATTAAATTTAAATTATTATTTTTTTCATTTGGTAGTCAGGCATCTTCAATATAAATGTGCACTAGCAATGGACCACATGGAGAAAAGCTCAATCTGCTCAAATCCATAAAAGAAAATGTAGGCTCGGTTACCATTTGGGGATAAAACAATGAAAATACTCGTACACTTGGTTGACTAATGGAAATTCTCACTGTTATGGAGTTCTCATTCCTCAAAGTGCAACTTATTGCTCAGCAACGGACGTGTGTACTTATGCATGCAATGCCCCAATCAAGTTGGCGGCTAGAGACCAACGAGGATTCTGACCTAGCCGACTCGTTGAGTTGACATTCCTCAATGTCGACTCGAAAGGCGGTACTAGTCGACCCTTTTGTCAAAGACGACTCACCACAAGCCCACTCGACAAGATATTGGACGCATTACGATGACGACTTGAAAGGCGTTATTTCTCAGTGAAGTTAAATGACAAATTCTGCCTCGAGCCTTTCCCGCAGGCGACGTTTCAACATCTCATTTAATGCGTGACAGGCGCATCATGCCTCTGGCCCCGACAGCCTTCATGACTCATCAGACCACGTGGGCACCGTCATGCCGCCAATCACTTCTTATTTAATGCTGAAGTGATCATTCCCCTACTCGTCAGTCGACACCTGTAAAGTTGATGTTGACTCAGCTGCCAGCCCACACTTCGCCACCGCCATCTTGTGCTCGGTTGAAGTGATCAATCTATCATTATACCCTCGGTATAACTACAGGTACTATTCGAACATAACAAAGGCTGAAATCTTGGATCTTTGGATCTTTTTTCTGATCTAATCTTTAAGCAGAGACACTGTACACCCATAAGAACTCTCATAATTCTTCATTTTTCTCCATTTAAGTTCATTAGCTAACTTGACCGTTGGATGAACCATTGGGGATCTTAGCCCCGTCCTCTCACGAATTCATACATGTGCAGACTTTTCAGCAACCCAACTCAAGAACATGACATAAAGTCGAGGAAGAAAGCGACCCCTCATCAATTCTGAACAACCCCATCCAACAACGGATACAATTGACCGTGTGATCACTTAACATTAACATTCACACTTAGAAAAATCAACTGATATATTCTCAAAGTTATAAAAAAATCCAATAAAATTCTAACACATCACCTTTTTCTATTGGTGCCATGCACGCATTATGTGTGTATAGAAATACTATCTTTTAAATGAAAAGTTAGATTTTACTCAAATCTTAAGTAATAAAGAGAAAAAATTACTGAAATTTGGTCTAAGGAAAACTGGTTGGTGTTTTCATAAAAATAATTATAGGATTTACTCGATAAATTTATCTTAATTGCTTTGTCAATATCTTAGATCTAGATCATAGGATTTACTGATTCCACTGTGATTACTAATTACTAATAGAATAATTTTTTCCATAGCCCTGTGGAGAATTATAGAATTTCCATGATTTTTGTAGTGGTATAAGTTGACAGTTTTGTATGCACATTTTTCCAACAAAGTTCAAGATTGTCTCATTAGCAAATCGGCAGCCCAAGAGGTGGTCAACACAACCCAGCCTAATTTTATCCCAGATAGGGCCCTTGTGTTCGGCCCTTGTGTCCGGCCCAGTTGAGAGTTTCCTTGGATGGATAAGAACCAAATGATCTTCGTACTAAACACCATTAAGCAACCGCCTCTCTCTCGCTCGGGGGAGGAAGAAATTAGCAGTGAAAATGTCATCTTTGGGAACATCGAAAGGGATGCTCGAGATCGCCAAGTTCGCGGTGTACGTTAGCGTCCCGATCGCCCTAACCTACGCCGTCGCCACCGAGTCCAAAACCCTACAGAAGCTTATGGGACTCGTAAGCCCCTCTCTCTCGCTCAGCCCGATGCTAATTTTGTTAAATTTCGCAAGTTGAACTTTGTTTCAGTCTAAGCTGTAAACAATTTATCAAATTTCGTCCAATTAAAACCATTTTAACCTAATTTTGTTTGGGGGACATTTGAAATTGGTACTGAAACGTAGTTGTTTATCTACATCTAGTATACATCCTGAAGAGCTATAGCTTTGTTCTATTTAGAATTTTTAGAATCTGAATCCATCTAGATTAGATTAGGTTAGCTGTGATTAATAATTTGAAGGATCTGGATTTAGTTAAGATTCTAACTAGGGTTGCCAAAATGAGTGTCGATTAGTAAGCTACCTATAAGTAGAACTCCAAGGTCTCAGGTTCCACTTTTTTGGGAGCATTTTTTCAGGACTTTAATTTTCTAGAATACCCACGGCCGTGTGTTGGTGGTACCTCTTAGTCACACCCGGGAAATGGAGTAGAAGAAGAGATGTAGGAGGAAGAGATGGTGCAAGGAGAGAACGAAGAAGATAATGGAGGGTGTAGAAGATGGAATGCTTCTTTGTAGCTTACTAGTTCCTATTCATTCTCTAGGTAGAATCAAGTAGAGGCTCATATTCGACTGATCAGTTACTAAAAGTTTAATTGCACTCTTAAAGCTGTCAATGATAAATAAAAATAGTGTAGTTCCTTATAAACACGGACATTTTTTTTTGTAGTTAAGTCCAAGGAGCATTTATTTGTTAGTGTGCTTCCTTATGTATACTTAGGTTCCTCTTCCATTGGTAATTAGGTGATGGTCATATATGCAGGTTGTTGTATGATCTATTTTGATCTAGGGGATGCTTAGGAAACACTTAGGTTGCTTTCTCTAATGATAGGTTAACTTTTGTTCCTCTTCCAAGATTTTGACTTTGTTCTTCCCTTGCCAAATATCCCTTTATCATCTTATGTGTTGCTGTGTTGATTGCCTCCAAATCTAGTCAGTGGTTGGGAAGTTTTGGATTAAAAGATAAATTATTCACCACTATGGTTACTGGCTCAAACTTATTATTTTATTGGACAATGCTATTTGGAGATGTATTATGATGTTAAACCTTACAAAAGAATCTGACTTGGGAACTTTCTCATGAAAGTTTGGATGCATTTTTAATAATTAGCTATTGTTATTTGCTTCTTACTAGTTACTTCAGCTTTCATGTTTTGTGAAATTATTGATGCGATGCTAGGCTTGACACGAGGGTGTCATTCTAGGTACCGTCATCGTAGTATGTCTCTGGTGGATAATAATGACAAGTATGGTACTAAATGGAGATCTCATATCTCGCTCACTGGATATGAAGCTAGACTCATATGGGGTTATGTTCACGTAGTTCTAGGCTTCTAGCTAAATGATTCCTTTTCTTTGTGACAATAATTTGCAGAAGAGTATGTGGTCATATGCTTAGACATGATAATGTTGAATAGGTACACATGTATAAATGAAAATCTTGTTACCTGATACCTACTGAAATTTTCCACAATGTGCTAAATATTTGGGTATTCCAATAATCGAATCAATTTTGTTTCCCATGTGCTGCCAAGTTTTTTAGTGGGGTTTGAATCTTGAAGTAGAGCTTGTATGGTTGTCAGTTGTCATTCATATTGCTGGATAAATAGCTCCTTACATCATGACTCGGTCTTGTCTTATATAATCATGATATGAGGTTCTTATGTTAAGCTTCAGAATTCACTCATCCTACAGAAGTGATATCAGATTGTTTTATATTGATCCAATTAAATGAGACTTGGTTTCACATGACATCATATATCTGTGATCTTTTGGATTATATGTGCTGCATTTTACTGCATGTTCTGACACAGTTATTTTTAATGCAAATGCCTTTTAATTTGTGTCGGATGGAAGTGGCTGTTTTTAAGTAGAAGACAAATTGAAGTGTTACTAGAAAGTTGTCTACACCAGAGTTAGATGATTTAAGTTCGAGACTAATATTGATATGGCTATCCACATTTGTTGAAATTTTGATCATTCCTAGTGAGTTTTTCGTATGTTTATCTCCATTTCTAAAGCTACTCCTTTAAGAGCAGATCTTATATTTCAATATACGAGGTACAATGCTTCAATCGTCAAATTTCAGTGTAAAAAAGATAGATCAGGTATTTATACAATTACTTAGAACATCATTCAAGCGCACGAAGCTTGTAACTTTGGAATAGAATAGCTACATTTTTTTTCTCTGCTCTCGGAGCACTTATTATTTCCCCCCCTTCTGCAGCGGCCTTATGTAGTGTATCCTCCTGAGGGTCCTAAACCCCCATCGCCAGAGGAACTCCGGGAAATGGCCAGAGAGTTGGCTCGCAAGAACAATGCTCGTTGATCCGATTATGTCGCTATTATGTGGTAACATGCAACTCCTTGTGCTGCGAGGCTTGAAAATGATACCAGTATCCTATGCCTTCCGAGAAATGGCTTCTGCTGCTTATATTTAATATAAATACTTAAGCTCCGTCACTTTTTTTCCTTGCGTTGTTGTTTGTATGGGAGATCGTATCTTCCTGTGGGAACATCTACTTCCAAAATAAGTTGCACCTTAATGCAAAGGGCAAGGGGCAAAAATCTTTGAAGCCTTGTGTGTGAGTACAGCTGAAGCTCATTGAGATTGTAATAGGAGATGTTTTGTGTACAATAATGACTATTTAATAGAGGGCTTATTTGATATCTTGTTTTGAACTTGTTAAACTCGAGATTAAACCGTAAGCAGAACCAGTGTCGTAATAGAGGGCGAAGCGCATTATGCATATAATCCACAAGGTCGACCGTGTCAAAAATCCGAGGCAGAACGAGATGAAATTTAAGAATTTATCTAACTTCCTATATAAGAAATATCTATAATAATAAAAATTCATGTTTTCGCCTCACGGAGAGCTATTTGCGTTTGAATCCTAGCTTTTGCTCCTGCCAGTCCTGGGCAATGAACTATAGACACGGTTATGGAGCACAAATGCAAGGGAGGCGCTACAATCATACCCCAACCACACTCCTTTCTCGTTACAGTGCACTGGGGCCTATATGAGAATTTTTTTAAAATTCTCATGTGGGTCCCAGAGTACTGCAGCGAGAGAGGAGTATGGTTGGAGGTGTGCCTCAGCACTTTCCCAAATGCAAATAGAGGACATCGTATCTTGTCACAGGTACAATATGTTCGGTTTACAGCCCAAAAGACTCATCTTTGGACTACAGCCGTCAGTCAACATGGGCTTCTCACTTGTTTTGGATTACAGCCGTCAGTCATGTGGGCGTCTCACTTCTTTCTAACGGGCTGGATCTGATGGTTTGACCTTACCATTGTGATCATGGAGCGCGCGTTCGATTTCGCTTCATTAACACTAAGGCCTCCTTTAGCCCGCTTGATTGGAATCATGTAAAAATAGAATGAATATAGGAATGAAATTGTTGTAAATATAAATACAATGAATGTGGACATTACTAGAAGAAGTCTCTTCATCTACTTGTGACTTTTAGTATTTTCTTCCACATCTATATAATGTAATCCATGGAAGATAAAATGTATTGAGGAGAAATGAAGATGAATAAAATGAGATGATCACTTTCTCCCTATCTCTTTTCTTGTTTATTTACTTTTATATTTCATGTTCGATTCTTACTTTTGATATGTGATGTATGTAGATACAACAACGAGATTACAACACGTTATCAGCACGAAAGCTCTAGCTAGTCGGTTCGTAATCGTCCGTTGGTGGTAAGAAATATTTCGGTGTACATCTCTTACGAGGTAACAATTTCCACACTTACATTTCGTTTTTAAAGTAAAAGCACACGTACAGAATGTGAAAACAAAACTGTCCTTATTGCCCAAGAGCTTTGATGATTTTTTTATTTTCACTTCTTTCTCATCACTAGCACTGAAATTGGCATATTCTAGTGAAATATAGCAATACATGGAGTTTGTAAAGTTTCTCAAAAGAATAGTTTATTAAAAACAGAAGCCAGTTCTATTTGGCACGCTAATTAATGAAGCACCTAATTTGCATGATTAAGCTAAAATATTTATGGTTGGACTTAGACCCATGTTATTGCTGGTATAGGTGGCCGCCACTCAAGGATGCTTGGCACTACCTTCATCACACGGGAAGGAGGTCTAAAGGCTATTATTGGATGCAAGAATTTAGCCCTAAGATTAGTACTACCCTACAATATTAATCATTTTTGTGTGTGACAATAAATTTTGGTAGTAATTTTCAAAAGGACAAATTTTCAAAACCAACCTATTTACAAATTTAATCACAGAAAACAACCCACTTCAGATTTAATTGCAAAAACCGACCTGGTTTCAGCCTTGGCGCTGAAACCAGGTCGGTTTTTGAAAATTTTTATCCGAAACTTCACGGGAGTTGAACTCCCGTGAAGTTTCGTAGTTCAAATTTTTTTTTTTTGTACTGGGAAACTTCACGGGAGTTCAACTCCCGTGAAGTTTCGAAAGTTTTTTCACAAAAACCGACCTGGTTTCAGCGCCAAGGCTGAAACCAGGTCGGTTTTTGCAATTAAATCTGAAGTGGGTTGTTTTCTGTGATTAAATTTGTAAATAGGTTGGTTTTGAAAATTTGTCCTTTTCAAAATGGTATTAAAAGATTTGTGTACCTACACCGCTTAAAGTACAATTCTTGTCTCTACTGGACATCCAACAAATTTAATGCCTTCAGAGAGGAAATTCAGTTTATATGAATATAAAAACCCAAACCAATTTTTGCAATTCTCTCTCAGTGTATTCTTAATTGGATAATTGTTTTAATCAATAAAAACTGAGTAGTTTATTCTACTATCTATTATCTGATCTTTAGTTGGCTTTGTTAGAGCTTTTTCTAATGTATTATCTCATCTAATAAACAAAAGTTCATGTAAATTAATTTTGTAATGCAATTTGCTCATACATACGAACACCTGGTTGGAACTTTATTTCTGTTAATGGATGAACCTCTGTCAAAACTAATATTTAGAGCCCATGTCCTTTTAGGATTTGTCAAAACTAATATTTAGAGCCCATGTCCTTTTAGTTATTCATCTCATTTTATTTTAGATGGACATTGAAATTGTAATATACACGTTATCATATTCTCGTAGAATTGTACTCTGATTTGTCGTATACCCGACAGTCATTCTTAATGACATTTTTCTTATTAAAATGTGAATGGATTATAACATTCAAAGATTAGTTGTCAAGCAGTAGATCAGAAGTCAGAACATTTTGGTTGTGGAAACAAATATGTTTGACCTAAAATTAAGTTTCAATGGCAATCCCTTTATTATAAATCTAAAAGAGATAATTGTATTAATTTTTTATTATGTACTGTCATTGTTTACTTATTTCAAGAGAAGAGGAACCAGCTTTTCAAAAGAAAAGACGTAATGTGTGTGGAAGTTTGTAGAGAAAATAAAAATAAAAATAATGGTTTTCTGTATGCTGTGCTGTTTACCTTTTAAGGTGTAGATATACCCATATAGCAGACATATGCATTGGAAAAATCAAGAAGTTTTACATAAATTTGGTAAATTTGAATTTTTATTCTTGCATTTTTTGCTTCTACTTGATGCTAAACATAAACACTTTAAATTTTCTAAAAACGTGAAAAATTAAATTCTTCAGTGAAAAAGTATTCATTTTTCTAGGCAATCCCTGAAGGATCGCTTTGATCTCTGGAAGCCAATAATTTGATCAAAAAGTTCTTTTCCCCATTCCACGCAAATAATATTGTACTCCAGCAGCAGTACATGACCAAGAATTGCACTGAGCATTCTGAATTGATTAGTAGTCGCAGATAAGCACAATCAATTGATGATTAGAAATCACAATGTCAAACTAGTTGGCTTACGAGTTGTGTTTGTAGCACATGCTACAATTCAGAAAATTACTTATACGCGTGGACAAGAGGGAGGCTATGAACATAGTAGGAGATCTTATCTTGTAGCCATTTTTGGATTTTAAACCCTCGACTGAATACAATTCAACAAGTAACCTTGTACTCTTACAATAGTACAACTAAAAGCATTATGAACTAATCCTTACATTAGTAGTTGTTAAAAACACAACCAGCTGTTGTGAGAAACCATAATGCAAGTTTAATTGGTTCAGTCGTAGTGCCTGAAGCACATGTCATAATTCAAATTAATATTCATAAGCTCGGACGAGGGGGAGGTAGTAGATCTTATTGAGGTGGTCAAGGTAAACTATTTGGTTTTTTCTATATTTGGATTATATGCATTTGTCAGACAATTTTAATTTATCTCGATTTTGCTTTAAACTCTTGTGAACCTATATATGTGGTTTTTATTCATATGTGTATATTTTAGAATTTGTTTGACCTAAAATACAACATGTTGTGATGAGTTTGAGATTTAGGGACCCAAATTCTTTTAAATTCTGGCATGAGCGATTGGGTCATCTTGGGCAAAATATGATTTGTCGGATTTCCTTAAATTAAATGGGGCATTCAAACCAAATCCGACCAACTGCATATCACAATTTCCCCCCTTTATCTAATACGTGGTAAAGAAGCAAAACATTTCCCATCTGCGTATTATTTATTTGTAGTCCATGTTTCTATATCACCACCATAACGTACCTCTATGGGACCTCGGTGAAGGTACATACATTATTTATAAAACTCCGTCAATAATTTAGTACCTATGGCCCATGTTAGGGGATCAATTTACAATTTAGTACGCTGACTGCATTTTTATTGAAGATCAATTCTCGACATTAGGGGGAGATTAATGCCCAAAATATAAAATAATGTCAAGAAATTCCATTGGTGAAAAAGATCTTCAATATTTATATCCACGTACTAGTCAAACTGAACCAGAAGTTCACATGATAATCTGCCAAGAAAAGAGTGACTAAGCCCCATATTCATGTTGAGTATATCATTGATGATTTGTCATATTCATGTTGAGTATATCATTGATGATTTGGTATGCCAGAAGCATACTGTGCTAGAAGCATATAAAACATGTTAGTGTAAAAGATAAAAGTCCGCGGCAAACTAAATTATATATAGAAAGACAGTCACTCCCATAACCTCCAGAAGAGGTTCATCCTGAAGATGGAGTCTCCAGTAAAGTTGCACGTGCACTTGATAATCATAATATTGGAGATGTGGAACGGCCAAATCCAATTGTTAAGGGAAATGACAAGGATTTGGTTAACATAAAATAAGAATTAAAGTGGCCACGAATTTGTGAAAAAGGAGAAATATATAATATAAATATAAAAGTTGTCGACAACATAGTTGCCTCTATAGTTGCTCTTACTATCTCTGTAAATAATCTGGATCCAGAACCTAAGTCAGTAATAGAGTGCTTGAAGCATTCGGACTAGGTGAGATGGAAAGTGGCAATTGAGGCTGAGCTGAACTCGCTAAAGTATTTTGAACCTGTAGTTCATATATCCCTGTAGGATATATATATGGGTCTTCGTAAGAAAAATAAATGAGAATTGTAAGGTGGTGAGATATAAAGCGAGATTCATAGCTAAATGGGTTCACGCAGAGACCCGACATCGATTTAGATGTAAAATATTCTCCTATTAGTGATTATATTACATTCCGCAAGTTAATATGACAGAAACTATGAATTTATATATGCAGTATATGTACGTCATGACCATATTTTTATATGAGTCTTTTATATGAAAGTCCCTGATG